ATCTTCTGTGTCTGTGTTAATTGGTTTCCCTTTTCTTTGTTGAAGAGGGTCTGTGCAATCCTTCTGCCTAGTCCGCCATCTTGCCCCGCCTTTTCATGTTTTTCTTAAACACGGTTTCCTAGTAAGGAGGAAAAAAAAACTTTTACTACTTTCCTTTGGAGAATAATTTGTGGGATGGGAGTCACAACTAGGCTGAATAGAAAGTGTTATACAAAGTCATCAGCTTTGTTTTTCTTAATTACAAGCTTCAAGTCTACTGCCTGATGAACAGAGCCAAAAGTGCAGATCTCCTTGTAATTCAGCTACTGTTGATACAACACTCTTCTTACCATCATTTATCCACCAGAATCAAACTGAAGAAAAAATGCAAACTTCCAACATTTTATTTGATAAACAAAAGAACCTTTGTAGAAGTGCTAATCCAGATTTTATCATAACTCCAAAAAGTGGTGCTTCTCCCAATTTATTTTATGAGGCACAGTGCCAAGAAGCACTTGTGAAAGAAAAGGATTTGAAAGAAGAAAACCATCACCATCACCATCCTACCGGTGAGTTAGTTATATTTCTCTCTTCCATACTTAATTAGCAGTGTTAACAAGTTTTCCTAAGATAGGAGAATCCTTTCTGCATTTTTTTCCCCTGTCCGTTATGGCTTTAATTGTAAGACCCTACATGCTGTGCAAGGAGGGCTCGGCTGCTAACCATAAGGTCAGCGGATGAAACAAACTCAGCTGCTCTGGAGGAGAAAAGACCTGGTGATCTGCTCCTTTAAAGATTACATCTGTGGAAACCCTCAGGGGCAGTTCTGTCCTGTTCTATAGGGTCAATATGAGTTGTACAATAGCAGTACTCTGTCTGACTTCAAACCTTGTATTGTTGCATGGTGTCTTTAAAAAAGGAGGCAGTAGTTACACATATACCATTTTTCCTTGAGAGCTTAGAAATAGTCTGATTGCTCTAATATATGTATAGAGGTGGTAGGGGGAGATGTGATAGAAAATGTGAAATTTGAGAAATAGGTTGTTGGAAATTATTTCTCATTAAAAAAATTCTCACTCTAATCTATATGCTCACTCAGTTTATCCACAGTACCTCTGTTTTCCTATCACCTACCATGTTCCTAGGAGCTCTGG